TTGACATTTTTACACACTCGGCATCGATCCAATTAGCATAACAACCTTTCTTTAATTTATTTGAATGAAATGCATCCAAAAGTCACTAAGTTTCATCCTGGAAACGCCCGGATCCGGGCAGCTAGTGTGAAAGGGCCTTGCGGGTCGTCCCGCATCGACGGTGCGGGACGGTGCCGCACCGCGCTGGTGTGAAAGAAGGCTTACCTTTTGATTACTGCTCATAGGCCTTAGCCTTCTTTCACACCAGCGCGGTGCGGCACCGTCCCGCACCGTCGATGCGGGGCGACCCGCAAGGCCAATTCACACTAGCTACCCGGATCCGGGCGTTTCTAGGCTGAAACTTTGTGATTTTTTGATGCATTTCATTCAAATAAATAAAAGTAAGGTGGTTATGCTACTTGTTGTATCCGAAAATAAAATAAAGTGCCCCCTTGCTAAGTAACCTAATTGGATCGATGCCGTGTGTGTAAAAATGTCAATTCCTCGTGTTTTTAAAAGTTATGGTGATATGATACAGCTGTGGGATGAATCTCGCACTTCAAACATGGTCTCAAATATGTAATGACTCACTTTCTACTCTTGTTATGAAATATACTATAACATATGGGACCATTTTTTTTTTTTTATTTCAGTGCACTATAGGAGATAAAGTAATTCTGTAGTTGATATATATGGTTGATATATAGTTGATATTTTCATGCACATATTTGTAGGTGGTTTTAGCTTAAACAACAATTCATTTCCTTCCATATATTTAGAAGAACATGTAAGTGCTCGTTAAACCAAATGTTTTTATATTACATAAATCAGGCATGTTTAATAAAATCGTTTGTAAAAATGTAAACATGCAAATGAAAGATGGTTTGCTGCAGTGGAGGTCTCGTGTTAAACGCTGACCTTCAAACTAAAACAAAATATAAAGCTTGACCAAACTAATAATCTCTATATAAATTTCAACCTCAATACCAAGAACAGCAAACTTGCCTATTAACAAGAGTACAACAAAATCAACCACACTCAACCACTGATATGCATAGACAGTCAAAACTACTGATTTATGTGCGGGCAAAACCAGCCCGTCCCGCGCAAGTGTGAAAGCGTACATAAGAACCCATGATCTAAAAACTATTCATGCGGTTTCGACCCGCATTGGAAGTTTAGGTTCGTGCGGGTGATTTTTCAACCCGGACGGAGGTTTAGGTCTGTCCGGGTCAACCCGCACTGGTGTGAAAGCTCCCATATGATTCAATAGTCTAAACAGCTTCGTCCGGTGCGGGACGGTCCCGCACCGCGCTGGTGTGAAAGAAGGCGCCTTGATTTTGTTGTACTCTTGTTAATAGGCAATTTTGTTGTTCTTGGTATTGAGGTTGAAATTTATATAGAGCTTATTAGTTTGGTCAAGCTTTATATTTTGTTTAAGTTTGAAGGTCAGCTTGTAGGACGTGACCCCCACTGCAGCAAACCATCTTCCATTTGCATATTTACATTTTTACAAACGATTTTATTAAACATGCCTGATTTATTTAATATAAAAACATTTGGTTTAACGAGCACTTACATGTTCTTCTAAATATATGGAAGGAAATGAATTGTTGTTTAACCTAAAACCACCTGCAAATATTGTCATGAAAATATCAACTATATATCAACCATATATATCAACTACAGAATTACTTTATCTCCTACTAGCTGTACCCGCGGGCTTTGTCCCGTTTGACTTCATAAGTGAGCTCGTTCGCATGGCTCAATCACGTCCTGGTTGAAGTTCGTTCGCTACGCTCACTCACCTTTACGTTGCCTTCAGGTTAGCTCGTTTGCTACGCTAACTCGCCTCCAGGTTGAAGTTCGTTCGCTACGCTCACTCACCTTTTAGTTGCAAGTTAGCTGCTGTCATAAATTTAAAAAAATAATAGTGCTGCACCCTGTTGGTAATCCTTGTAACTTTAATGCTATTGAAAATCATAGAACAGAACCAACTTGTTTAATTGAAACAACTGTCACAAAAATCACTAAGTTTCAGCCTGGAAACGCCCGGATCCGGGCAGCTAGTGTGAAAGGGCCTTGCGGGTCGTCCCGCATCGACGGTGCGGGACGGTGCCACACCACGCTGGTGTGAAAGAAGCCTAAACTAGTTTGTATACAACAACTACGCTATAAGAATGGAATGGTTATTTGTTCACGTCACTTTTCTTCGATCTTTTTCGACGTAATTTAATATGACCGTGAAAAGAAGTTAATGTATTTCATTTTTGACAAAATACCTGTTGTAAAATTAAATTCGGGACCACGTAAGTTTGCAGATGGTGCCAGCCAATCACAAGACAAGGCTAGAGCGACTTTTCCACATCGCCCGTTGACAACACTAATTAAAATGTACTAAGCAATATTATCAAATCATCTGGTATTATTAGATTTGGCAACACCGCATGGTTCTCATTGGTCCATTCAAAACCATATGGTAAATAGGCTCCTCCCTCAACTGCAAACTTACGTGGTCCCGAATGTAGGTATCTGGTACAAAGTAGTTCACAGTTTGTCAAAGTTTTAACCTTTGTGAATTTAAGCTAACCCATGAACAGTTAGTACTTGGGAAGGTTAAGAAAATATTAATGAATAACGTACAAAGAAGTCTGTTAGGCCTCTCGCACGTTACTCTGAATGGCCTTAATTTGCAGTTTCTTAGAATATCCTTTTACAACAAGCAATTCATTAGGTGTCGGATAACAGTGCTTCAGTTCACATTCGTGTGATTCCCCTCTAATATCCAACATAACTATTGTTTTGATTTTTGTTGGTAATCATAATAGACAAGCTCCTCGGTTAAATGGGGGGGGTACAATTCCAGGGGGTACAATTCCGGGCCGTACATTTTCTTCTGCGGTGACCAGGGGGTACAATTCCAGGGGGGTACAATTCCGGTCCTACAAGAAGGGCTAGACTGACGGGGGGTACAATTCCAGGGGGGTACAATTCCACCCCGTACACTGGTAAAATAAAAGTGAGTTCTAACTGAGGGGGTACAATTCCAGGGGGGTACAATTCCGGTCCGTACAGTTTTTTAGATGCCAGTGGATTTAATCAAACCACTCGTGCATAACAATATCAAAGTTTTATGAGGGGGGTACAATTCCAGCCCGTACACGCCGTTTTGGTCGAGAAAATGAGACGTCATCGTGACGTCACAAACCAGCAGGGGGTACAATTCCAGGGGGGTACAATTCCGCCACCCCCACTTCTGTGCATGTGGAAACAGGTAAGCAGAGGTTCCCGTGGTCGACCAAGGCCTTGCTCGAGTCACTTCGACTGTAAAACAAATTTCTCAAAGAGTAATTATTATCATTTAATTAGTTAACTGTCTTAACTGTCATGACAGAAAGTTCGTGTTCCTTTTGAACTAGATATCCTCATTCTTTCTAAGATACGTTGATTAATAACAATGCATGTAAACGTCATTATTTACGTAATAATTTACAGTATTTGCTTTATGGAAGTGCAGCATTACTTTGTCATTTGCATTATTTGTTGCCAAATAAGCCGCATTATAAATGATTTCGACGGGTTTCACTCACTTCACCCACGTTTCACACGAAAAAAAGTTGTTATGGTTCTGTTGGTCTCATTGTTGTATGACCACGTATGATTCAGCCACGACTGAGCTAGAGCTAGAGCTTTCACTTTCACTCAGTCTGGTTCATGTTTTCGGTTTTCGGAATTCGGATGCTCGCCAGTGTTCTCAGACGTACGATAATTATCGTTTTGTACGATAATTTAGCCTCCCGTACGATGTACGATACGTCACCGTACGATAATGCTATTTGTACGATAATTTGGGCAATTGAATAGTACTCTTTTACAAAATTGGTTTGGGAGGTTATACCCAAAAATTTGGAAACATTTTTGCTGTTTTAAATCAAAACTCAGTATTTATTAGAGATGGGATATAAAAATCAATACATAAAAAATCAATCTTATGAAAACTATAAGTTAACTGTTAGTATGAATAAAATTAAAACGAAACCATTTCAAATGTGCTTCTAAACTGCTTGAATGCTTCTGCTTCGCTTCTTCTGCTTCTCCTACACCACGAGAAAGTCTGTTACCATAAGAACAGACCTTCCGTACATAATCTCGCCCATTTGGCGAATTATTGGTGTAGTAGTGCACGCCATCGATCTCTATTTTAGAGATCGATGGTGCACGGGTGCACGCACGGCCGCCTTTAACTCCAGGCCTCGGCCTTCAAAGTGGCAACATCACAAGAGGTGTTGTAACAGCTGTTTTGTTTGGAAGTGAAGCAGCTAATGGTATTTGTGTATTAACGAAATATTGGACTATGACAATATTGACTCCGCTTAAAATGTACATAATAGATTTTTAATTCATATTGTTTCGGTTTTCAATTCTGTATGTCTTTTTTTCAATATTTTAATAAATTTATGTTTATAAATTTAAATTGAAATCAATAAAGTGTGAATTAATGAGCTGATATCACCTGTCTGCCATGTTATCTTATGGGACGTCTGTCACTGAACAACATACCACTTGTGGAGATGCCAATTCTACCAGGCCGCGGCCTGTAGTTAAAGGTGGCCGTGAGTGCATGGTGGAAGGAAAATACTGGTGTAGTGTTTGTGTTGAGGTTGAGAAATATTCACATAATATCAGTTACCTACTATGATTACAACGTGCAAAACTAAAAATAATATGGTTTTATGGCGATTTTGAGATTTATAATAAAAAAATATATAAGTCTATTAGGTATTTCAATACTCAAGCCAGTTACGATTGTTATTTAAAATTGTACGATAATTTTTCGTGAAATACGATAATTTAGGACCGCGTGTACGATATTTGACTACGGCCAATCTGGGAACACTGATGCTCGCTGCTGTCATAACAAAACACTATTAGGTTAGGATTAGGAATAATGGAATGTTTATCCTGTCAGAATCAGAATTCAGAAATGCTTTCTCAGGTTTCTAATTTGATTCATATTCTGTAACTTTATTATAGTTGACTTGAGTGTCGGTCAAAATTATTAGCCATAAAAATGGAGGATGATTGGCAAACTCAAAAATCGTGTATACGTGAACGAGCTGAGGTGTTATTTTCAACTAAGGATCTAAGTGATTGTGAATTTTTAGTGGGAACTGACAAAGTAAAGGTAGGCTATGTCTTTGAAAAATGTGCCTCGATTGTAAAGCATATAATCAAAGTCCTATTCCTAACCATACTATTTAATTAATTTTAAAATTGGGTAGGTGTATGGCTCTGGGGAGTGGGATTTTTTAAACGTTATTTATCCCTGTTCGGGGATTGTATCTATTGTAAAATTGTATCTATGTAGCCTACTTCCGTCATTTTGTGGGATCTTAATAATTCTTTGGCAATATCTTTACTGTGGGTTGGCCTAACATAGATTAGGGCCTTATTTATTCATATACTATAGGTAGGTCTACCCTGTGGTTGCTGCTAGGTACCCATAGATAGAACTATAAACATGGAACGCTGACTCAATGCAGCGAAAACGAGCCGGCCGCGGACAGGTTCTCCCCACCCCAAGTCAGTGTACGCAGGCACTGTCCCATGTATTACAATGGGCGCGTTACGTTTTCCTACACATTCCGTCAGGTTTTCAGGCTTTATCATCATTAGCCTATTAAGAACTTGATTGTGGTGATTTATTGTTGTGTGATGATTCCTTTATCACACTAACTTATTGAAAATATACTCAGTTTTTACGAGTAGGTTTTATTGTTTGTTGTGCATTGAATGCCACACAGAACATTTCGCTTCATTATTCACTCAAACTTACTCACACCACTCGTATATTCGGGATAAAATACGCACCCATGTGGAATCCTCATCTCAATAATTGATATTGAGGCAAATATTTGATATATCAACAATGCGATATCGTGTAATTTTTAGATGTCTACTTACAGTATTTTTCACGCTGAATCCAAAAATGCAATCAGTTTTTGTCGGAGAGATTCATAAGTGGCCGTAAAACGAAGGTTAAAATTACGAATCTATGGTTCATTGAGCTATACTGATGGTAATATGGCGTGGTCTGGATGGGTCGGTATGTGGACTGTGGACTGAGTGAGTAGGAGAGCAAACATCTGTTTATGCTAGACTTAATGCGGAATGAAATCATTTGAAACCAAATAATCAGTTCTTATTTAGGCATGTGAGGAAGGTAGGTCGGGTTTTATGCGGATTCGTGACTGTATTAAGTGTTTTGAAGTGAGGTTAGATTAGGAAGGTAAAGGTTAGGTTATAATGAACCGACTCATTAATTTATGCTACTTACAGACTGTTTTTGCACAATTAAATAGTGGGTGAAACACAATGAAATAACGATATCAAAAATGCGCAAGCATATATCCTGTTTTCATATTGGGCTACCCTATTTAAAATTATTAATTCATTTGTAGATACCTAGTCACAAATTGTTTCTTGGAATGGCGAGTCCAGTTTTCTATGCAATGTTTTATGGAGAGATGGCCGAAAAGAGCTCTATTGAAATCAAAGACATCGAGCCTGATGCATTCAGAGGCATGCTGCAGTAAGTATTTAAATATTTTAAAGACAAAGTAGCCTTTAAGTCTTCTTCTTATTCTTATGTTCTTATGTTCTTTGTAACTTATTCAACTAGGCTGGTAAACAAAACTTATACCAAATCCTATATCATAATAAATGTACCGTACAATATTTATAATTTTTACTTATCTCCAGTTTATGAGTAAAGCAGTGTAATTGCTGATGTTCTGATTGTCAGGTACATTTACTCAGACAAAGTGGACTTTGAGTCATGTACACACGCCTGTACAGTCTACTCAGCCGCTATGAAGTATCTTCTGCCTTACCTTGAAGAATATTGCATCAAATACTTAAGAGAAAATATAACAGCCAACTCTGCCTGTGAACTGTACGAGTTTTCTTTATTTCATGATATTACCGACATCAAGGAAATGTGTTTGCAGGTAGCCTATTTATTATATTTGTTTAGAAAATAAATCTATTCAATAAGATCAGTTGTTGACTCACTGGAGAATTATACCATCACATTTAACACACACATCACATAACAACACACACATTTAACATCACATTTAAGTTATTCTTCACAATCAATATAAATATAAATTGTATTCTTTTTTAATATAGAAGCCAGCTAGGTTAATGGCGGCGCACTAGCCTGACTAAGACAATGAGTGGTTGTAGGCCTATGCCTAGCTTCAGCGTCAAGATGGACGTTGTAGACTTAGCTGTTACTTAGTATTTGTATCGTAGGCAAGTTAAGCATAAGAAAAAGCGATACTGGGTCCAACTGATATTAACTTTCAGGTCCACTTAAGGGCATTTTGTAACATTTGATCAAGCTAACTATAACACAGTACACAGTAAACTAAAAACTCATTACCGGTACCTTAATTTTATTCTTCTGTAATCAACCATTGTGCATGATCAAATGTTCACAGGTTTTCCAAGACAACACTTCTGAGGTTTTGAAAAGTACCGGTTTCTTAGAGTGTGAATTTTCCACAGTGTTAAAAATATTTGAACAGAATAAACTGGAACTGGATACAGAATTACAGCTTTTTCAAGGGCTCCAGGATTGGACAGAAGCAGAGGCTGCGAGACTTGGTAAACATTTCCACTACACCTTTCTTTTTAAATATAAAAGTATCTAGCCTATGTGAAATTTTAAATATTTTGTTGGGTATAAAAATATAGGCTAACATTAAGAGTAATTTCAATGTCTCAACTAACTTAACTGATCTAACTTAATCCCGCTAAAAAAGGTTCAAATAAGCGGGAAGGCCAAATAACACTTGAATTGACAAAAAAACCATCTAATGTCAAAAGTAGATCTATAGGTGGGAACTTTCTAATAAGATTTAGTACCTAATGTACTAACATTGTACTAGGTAGCCTGAGAGGGTGACTACAAATTTTCTGCTAATAACAAATTTGTATAGTTTGGCCAAAGTTCTAGTTACGAGGTATCCAAATGAGAGGGAGGCTATTTTGTACAGTGGCAGTTATGGATCCTATTCAAGAGAGGGGACTACCAAGGGGTTAAAAGGTAGTAGAGAGTCCAAAAAATCTTTATTTCTAAAGCCGTTTGGTGACTTTCTACAGCCATTCTTAGTATTGAACTGTGTCCAAAAATCTCCCATTTCACTTGTTTATGGTTATGAGATAGTAGTTTGAGTTTAAAAAATTATACCTACCATAAACTAACCAACACAAGTAGACTTCTCATCCCATTGTCAATTTGAAGCTCGATTTTTGTATCTAGATCATGTTGGTGACACTGGGCACTAGTGTCGACAACATTTTGTTTCTAGGATTAATTTCATAATTTGAGCTTTACCGTTTGGTTATATAACTAGGGAACGAGTTATTGTTAATGGTTGGCTAATTTTATTTGGCTAAACGAAGTTTTAAATAGCTGAAATAGGAAGAAGCAAATTGCAAAAAAAAACACGATCCTAGCGGCACTGGACCGAACTAATTATAAAATTGTCTGACCCATAAGGATGACAAATCTACTAAGGGAGTAGGTATGTTTAAATTTATTTTTCTAGGGCTCAATAGGTTTTATCCCCTGTATCTCCTTGGAACTGCTACTGCTATTGTGTATCATAATGTATTGTTCGCACAAGAACAGTCGTCAGTACCGCCCACTTCCTGCCGATGTAGTCCGGTTAAACCAATGTGCTGATAATTGTTCGGTTAAAGAGATGTCATTTCCGCCGAGTGTAGTCCGGTTAAACCGATGTCCAGTTAAAAGGTCTCGGGATAAGAGGGAGTCTACTGTACTGTTGACCAAGCTGTACTTATTCATTGGTCTTTTAATAAATGGCCTTAAAAAAAACAGTGAACCTTATTCAGTAACAAAACTACACAAAACACCTTACTCACCCTGTACTCATACTCCATTCATGTTTGTCTTTAAAAACCCCCTTAATTGTGTCCCCATAACATAGTAGAGATTATGTGTTCGCTTAACATGTTATTGTAGGAGTGTCCGTTGAATCCCTCGCCATGTCTGTCACTGAGGCTCTCTCCAAGATCATGTTCCTGATGATGACAGCTGAAGAGTTCACCAGTGGTCCGGCTCTCTCCCCTCTACTCACATCCGAGGAGAAACTCGCCATTGCTATGAACATCACCAAACCTGGCGTGATTGGGGTTGGTTTATTGTTTGTTTTTAGCAACATATTCTTATAGAGATTATGAGCATACATTATTATTATTATTAGTGATGTCTGATGGAAGGCATTTAGATTAATCTTCATGTCTTCATTTAAATCTTCATTTTACTTTGCTGCCCGTACCTTCATCATTCTTTCCCATTTTTTGTTCTGTTCAGAAGGCACTTTAAAATACACAAAGAAAACAAGGTCAATATTTAAAAAAAATCATACCTTGTAAAAATAGGTGGTCTATTAAGTAATACATCTCCACCAAACAATATTAATCTGCTATGATATTTTTTGACCTGATTGGATTGAATGTTTAGATTCCAGAGCGTATCAACAAGTCCACAGAGCCCCGTAGGCCACTGTCCCCCATGCTGCCCCCTACAGTACCCCCCGTAGAGTGGAGTTTGGTCAGGGAAGTGTCAGACACCATAGTCTACCCTATCACTCGGTGGGTCAACCCCTTCCCTCGGAAAGGTCTCACTGTCTCTAGGAACATCAGGTTGAAAGGAGTCAAGGTTTGTATACTGCTATAAGTATAAATGTAGGGTATTTGTCTGTGTGCCAGTGTCTTATCGTAACAAATTATTGTGTTTGGTTTTCTATCCTGTATCTTTGCCATTTTTTCGCTAATATTATAGAACAAGCTGTACCGCTATGTACCTGAACAGTTTTTGTTGTTAAATTATGAAACCTGAAGTAGTATATTCCTTCTGTTAGAAGTTAATTATAAAGGTTATATGTAATTAGCCTATCACTTTATTTTAATGAAAACAAGAACTGTTTCTAATCGGCAATATCTCAACAGATTGCTTCCCAGAGGGTTTCAACCAGCGGAGAGTGCAGCCTAACCTACAAGGAGAACGTAACGATAGTTCTCAAGAAGGATTGGGCCGTAAAGTTCTCTGGAGCTAAGTACATGCTGGACACTCCGTACAACGACTCGTTCACTGTGCTGTTCACCAAACCTGTGCTGATAGAGGTAGGCAAAAAGTATTGGATCATCATACAGTTTGACAAGAACGGCGACTACCAATTCATGAGAGACGTCAACAGTGTTTACAATCTAAACAACATCAGGGTCGAACTTTACGAAGAATTCTCCCCAATTACGGAGTACTTGTTTTGTGATAAGCCCGAGGAGTAATCATATTTATTTACATAGGTACATTTATTTTTTTTAATAGTTGTACAGTCATGGATCCTATATTTTTACTGGTTAGTTGATTTTGATATTGATTTTGTGGATTAAGTGTCACTTGATTATTGCCGTCCAATTAATTTTGAGTGTAGACCTTTTATAACTTTGTTTGACTGTATGTGATTCAATTTGACTAAAGTAGCTGGATACCTAAAATTGCCATATACAGGTATTTATAAAAACCGAAATTTCAGGCTTCAACTAATTTATTGAACTCTCTTGAGTGTCTGTTTTACGAGTAATTCTGTAAAAACACAATTGAGTAAAACAATCTGTAGTTTGAAAATCAAAATTAAATTGACATTAAATTAAGTTAAAAACTATAATGTAAGGAAAAGCCAATTGTACTGAAAAATATGATTCCCTTCAACAATTATCTGGTGCTAAAAAACGGGCGGGGTTTGTAAGTAAGAACGGCTTTGTCGTATGGATCCGTAGTATGCTTGTACACCGCAACGAGTCTCGTTGCCACTTACTGGCATCATTTGTGAACAGTAGGATGCAATTTGCAGCTCTGTAGCTTTACTGTGTGTTTTTAAGGTTTTTTTGGATTATCAAATTCTCCCGCCGCGTCCAAGATAAGGTCAATGATACTTTTTTACAAGAAACATATACGATGCTGAAATCCAACATCAGATGACTTAAGTTTATGACCCTAATGCAATGATAGGGGTAAAATGTAGGAACAGGCTTGGGAGTTAAAAATGGCAGTGAAAATGTTCATTTCAGAAGGAATTGTGTTTTTTGGCGGATACCTAGACTTCTCACAGAAGGCGAGAAAGGAAAATGGGTATCTCGGCAATTTTTACACTCCATAAACCATTTCCCTACTTTACCCTCACTCATTGCATTAGGGACAAAGACTTCAGTCATCTGGCAATGAATGTCGGCATCAGATATGTTTCTTGTGATCAAAAATCGTATCACTGATCTTATCTCGCACACGGCGGGAGATTCAATAAAAAGCTTTAAAAACACACGGTGATGCATTCAAGTCTGTTTCAGAGCGACGAATTGTGTCATTTGGTTCACAAATGATGCCAGTAAGTGGCGAGGAGCCTCGTTGTGACGTACAAGCAAACTATGGATTCGTACGACAAAATGGCCGCTACTTAAAAAACCGCTCTTTTTACTTCAAAAATTTGTCTACGCTACATTTTTTACTAAAATGATTTTTTTTACTAAAACAGTTGTAATAGGAAACATAATGCATGTTTTGCACAATCTCTCCTAGCAGGGCTAAGATTGATCATTGATTAATGATTATCGATAAGAGGGATTGTTTACGATACAATTTATGGCCTATTGACTAGAACAAAAGAATTAGACACCTGAAAAATGGTTAATTTATATGACTAGAATGAATGGTTGGATTTATAACACTGAAATAAATTTATTTTACATTACTGTCATTATAAATGGCTGATACAGCCAGTTAGACAACAGATGAGTCTAGTGTACAGTTCCATCTGGACGCCAATGCCCATGTGCCCCCCTCGCTTACCCAAAAATTGACTTTTTAGACACACAGCAAATTTAAATGTAAGAATTTAGATTTTGTAAAAGATGCCATACAATATACCAACCTGTTACTGTAATTAAGGCTGTGTAATATGATCTGGTTTACAACCTCTTTTTATTAGACTAGCTAGAGACACATTTAATTTAAATAAGTTTGTGTTTTGTGTAATTTGTAACTGATTGTTTAGTTAGATATCATATACGTACATTATTTATTCTATTGTAAGGAAATCAAATCAAAATAATTGCAAAAATAGAAAGTTAGTATATTTTTGTCGCTTATTACCTCAATAAATCAGTAGAGTTATATTTTAATCTATTATTTTCTAATTGTAAAAATTTAAAAAGAAGAGAAAGGTTTATTTGAAAAAAACATATATATCTGTAATATTTTTCTGTGTTTAGTATTTAAAAAAAGTTACCTTTTGTATGTACAGAATGGACATTCCAACTATGTTAATAATTATCGGATTTTACCACTAAGACTAGAGTATACACAGCATAATGTTGGTAGGGTAAATGGTTACCTTATAGTCTTGTTTGTATTAAGGAACGCGGCAGCGTTCCGCCCCGCCAAGTCCCCCAGCGGTACACAGCTAAAGCTGCAGTGTATATATACATGACGTGACAAAGTGGCTTTTTTACTCGTCTATAGCTCTGAAGAAACAAAAGCTATTAAAATAATTATTCATCTACTGGATAGGGGCACTCATTCTCAACAAAATAAAAAAAAGAATTTAAAAAACGGTTGTGTTTCAGCCAAGAAAAACTAGTTTGAAAATTCACAAATTTTCCGTGTTCTCCTTCTCCTCCTTCTCCTTCTCCTTGAATGTTGACGGACCTAGAGCCCAAACCACTGGCTCAATTTTAATGTTTTTTATGTTGTTTGAAAGCCCTTAACGTGTAGATGTGCCTTTTGAGGGTCTCAAGTCAGTGCCTTGACCCATAAACCCTTGGCAAGCCCTCAAAGTACGATTTTGGCCCATTTAAATAACTTGGGATTAAAATCAAAACAAAATAAGGACCAGCTGCGATTAAATCTCAATTAATTTAAATGTTAGAGAAATTCATAGGAACAGCTGAAAAATTATTTTAAAACTTTTATAAAGTATTTTCTTCAGGTATACCGAATGATTTGAACTACTTACTATATAAAATTACTTAGAGCAGTGATATTCCCCTATACTTTCCATTGAAAAATGCAGTGTACCGATGGTACACTGGTACAGCATCTCGTCATTTTTAACAGTTTAATACTACTTATCAAAACATATGAAACCTAGGAACTTGAAACTTAGTACTAGTACTAAGGTTTGTTTTATGTTTTGATACACTAAAACAAATAAAACAATCGGGAAAATCACTCTACGTATGTTAAACAAGCAATTAAAAAGTTATATGTAAATTTATGATAAATGAGTTTTTCAATATTTGTTTTGCCTTGTGCTATTTCTATCAAACCTAATCTGTTTGATTACATTTTTACTTCTCTAATAAGGGCTCAATTTACACTAGTCTTTAGATATACGGGTTTAATTATCAGAACACTTATGTAACACCAACGCATTTTATGTTGTTCAAGATGACCATTGATGAAATTTGAAACTGAGTTTAAGCCCAGGAGGTTTGTTAAATAGTAATTTTGGTATGTGTGTCAAAAAGTTTTTAATCGGTTTAAAGCAGATAAGACCAAAAATGTAGAATTTAGTTCTACACAAACAATATTATTTAAATTAAATGAGATGTAGTTGTGCTGTGGTCTATATATCAGAAAAAAGAGGATTTTTATTTTAACTGTTAATTTTCTACAAAAATAAACAAAATCTAACAAAAAACCACTAAGTGGTAACACTTTCCCCGCCAAGTCAGCAATCCAAAAAAGATAATAAATCATTACTTTTTCTGCCAAGAAAAACAATGTAATGTATGTAAGTTTGGCAACTTGGCGGCAGACTTTTGCTCGATCACTTTAAAAAATACCATAAAATTAGTTTCATTGAGCAAGTATCTCTCCCATTAGTACATTGCTAGGTGAGAGCTTATTTTACAAAATTTGACCTTATTTGTGCCACATTTCATAAAATCAAAATAGTGATGGTTTTATATTTACTGATTACCTCGAAATTATTATACTTAGTTAGACTAATTAATTAGAGAAGTTGATTTGTGAAATTATCCACAAACGTAACTTTGATGAAAAAACCAAGCAAAAGTCTGCCGCCAAGTTGCCAAACTTACATACATTACATTGTTTTTCTTGGCAGAAAAAGTAATGATTTATTATCTTTTTTGGATTGCTGACTTGGCGGGGAAAGTGTTACCACTTAGTGGTTTTTTGTTAGATTTAATTATGCTGAAAAGTTTATCCTACTGTTTGATCCTGGAGTTGTAACAATTTCACTTTACTTTTGTATCAAGAGTTGATTTAACCACTTAGCCAAGTTCCTCAACCTAAAAGACAAGTATAAGCTTCGATGGTGGTACCTACCACAATGTTCAGTCCATTCAGTGTTTTCATTGGCTACTGTATTTTATGTCATAGGCTGAATTATACATGTGACATAGTCAGATCATAGTGAATCTTAGATCAGTGCCGGATCCAGAGGGGGGGCGAAGGGGGTGACGATCGCCCCCCCCCCCTCAGGCATACATATATGTATTTTTTTACTGCATGTAATACAGTAGTGAATACACATTGCGTTAAATAATTTGTCACTCTAACTTTGGACAAAGAAATGGTATAAAACTGCCATTTTGGAGACTTAGTTTACACAAATTTTTCGAACACCCCAGACCCCCGGTTCGCCCCCCCCCCCTTGTGACTGCTCTAGATCCGCCACTGGTTTAATCATAGACAAAAAGAGTTAAATATAGGCTGTCAGCTGTGCTGCGGTTACCATAGGTTCTGACCCACACCGCTGGGAGCACAGTGTAGTTACGTAGCGTGTACGCCATAACTACATAGCGCTCCCAGTGGTGTGAAGATATAAAACAAGAAACACTGTTAATTTTAAGTACCGTAACATAAAATTGATAATTTTAAAAACATATTTCGAATACCTATTTGTCTTTTTATATACGGTTTTTTTATTGTAGTCTAATTTAGGGGCTATGGCCCCTACAGGCCACTAGTTATTGTTATTTTAAGTAGAGAGTAATTGCATGGATAAAACACACTCCCTTAGTAGATTTCTTATCCTTTTGGAACAGCTGAAGCCAATTTTTATTGTTATTTCTGTACGTTGCACTGTAGAGGTTGTGTTTTTGTTTACAATTTGTTTCTTGTTTCAGTAAGTTTAAACCTTGTTTAGCCAAATAAAACTATCTATCATAAACAATAACTGGTCTCCTAGTTATATAACCAAACAGTTAAGCACAAAGCATGAAATTAACCTTAAAATAATAGAAAAGATTTCCTCAAAACTAGCGCCATAGACAAGTAAAATTAATATAGACCGACAGCAGTGCTGTGGTTAGCATATGTTCCGGTGTCCACCACTAGGATTGCTGTGTAGTTGCGGTGCACACCGCTGCAGCGTCTGCTGGTAGCATACTCCATCCTCGCCTTCAGAGGTGTGCCCTGTAACTACACGGCACATCGCGGAACCTTCGTTTGACAATCTATGAGCGCCCAGTGTCGACATACATGAACTAGACACAAAAAACTAGCTTCAAAATTTACAATGGGATGACAAGTGTACTTGTGTTGGTTAGTATATGGTAATCGTTACACTAAATCTTGTACTGGTATTTTTATTTTGCTTATTGAGTATTTCAGATTTTTCAAACCTCATTAATAGACAATATATTTGTGAAAAATCAGACCAATTTTACCTCAATAGGCCTAAGTGAATTTCATTAGTGTTCTGTAAATTAACAGCGGAATTCAGTAATATTAAGTTTTTTGTAGTCAATGATTAGTTGTTAATTTTGGGGTTACATTCGACTCTCAAAGATTCAAGTGATGTGGCAAATACTCGTAGTTTACTTTGATTCTAAATTAAACTGAAATTTATCACTAGTTTAATATGGCTATTAAAGGATAGGC